AATTCTGAGATCCTGCATTGTCTTTTGCAATAGAACCACTGAGAAGCAGCAGTGGGCAAATTCAAAAATAGGTCATTCAGCTTCTCCCCATCAGCTCACTGCAGGGTATATTGTCAATTTAATTTCCTCATTTAGATCCTTCTGCTTCCCATAACACTGCTTTTGAATCACAACAGTGTCTGGGAGCAGGATATGCCAGCTGGCTTTGCAATGTTTTGTACACACAAAACTCCTGCCTTCAAATGAGATTAACCTTTGAGCAAAATTAATGTACACACAGCACACAACATAGTGAGGAGCAGCCACCAGCACACAGCACTGAGAAAATGGACAAATACAAGGTGTTCTTCATTCTAGTGTCTCAGAGACTGGTGTTAAAGTTTTCACTATGACAAAGGATTGTTTAAAAAAATACTGTATGGAGAGGCAAGTAGGTAAGGTTTTACTGAGGAAGGAGGTACTGGAATGCCTCCTGCCAGCACTAAAGAACAAAAATGTGTCTTAACCTTCAAGGTAAAACACTGAAATCCCAGTGTATTTGAAATCTCAGCAGTGCTTCAGGAGTATGATGCCATGTCATACGAGTGCTTGTCCTGGTAAGGCTGAGCTTCCTTTTCTTGCACAGAAACGTATTTTTAATCTGATAATAATTTTCTTCTTGGTGAATACAACCTTTTTTTTTTTTAAGAAACAAACAATAGCAAAACAAATCCTCATTACCAAGCAGAACGATGGCACACTTATTTTCGTGGTTTCTCTAGTATCTTCCGCTTCTATCTCCTGGGGCAAATCCAGGCTGAGCTCAGCAAGCGTCCCCTGTTGCCCAGGGAAGAACACGTTTGGTCTTTATTGCCATCTAGTGACCGAATCGATCGGACTGGCACAGCGAACACATTTGGGAGTTTTGAAACCAACGAGTGCTGCTTCCCTCTCATCTTGAACTGCGTGCTACCGTTACCCCATTCCTCGCAGACCTTGGAGCTCAGGTTTGCAGACACTGGGCACTCTGCTTTCATACTTTCATACTCTACAAATGAACGGGCCCTTCGCCTTCCCCCTGGGGCCCGGCAGCTTAGACAAAGGCCATTCTGTGAAACCGAAGAGCCTTGGCACTGAGTTTAGCAGCAGGGTCATCACGCTGGGCAGCACCTCCAGCACCACGGGGACATTTGGGGTGGCCGTAAGAGCAGTCTCCTCACCTTGGAAGAAGGACAGACTCTGTTTACAGGCGTTTCAAAGATCCACAGAGAGGTGCTGTGTTTTGGAGGCTCTCTTGGTGCCGAGACAGAGTCCTGGCAGCAGGTGCCCTTGCACACAGCGCACCAGAGCAGGCCACGGACACCTGCTCGCTGCACTCTGTACCCAGGTGCTGTTGTCTTTGCCCCAGCTGGGAGCCAGACGGTATTAGTCCCCACACGGTCCCCGTGCCCGGCGTATGCAGTCCCGAGGTGGGCGGGCTGCCCAGGCCCCTCCCGACTCTCCTCCCTCCCGAGCCGGTGCCGCTGCCACGGCCACCAACAGCCACACGGTGGCACTGCAGCACCGAGCGCCGAAACACCCCGCGGGGCTCCATGGAGGAGAGGAAACGGTTCCTCAGCAGGCCGGGTCTTCTGAGCCCTCCACGGGAAAGGGTTGTACGGCCAAAGCCGGCCCTATACTCTAAGGTAGATTTGTGGCCCTTTTCAGACACGGTCACTTTGGTCCCTGTCTTGCAGTGTGACTCCATGTGCTGTCGCAATAACCTGTGACAGAGCAGGACGACAGTCTGCAGTGGTCCTGGGGTAACAGGGCTGGTTGGTTTGAGCACCATCCCCTTACCTGCCTGTTCTTGCCCCTTTGCTGTCCTATGGGCATCCACTCATCCTTCATGTTTAAGTCCCACCATTTGGTTCTATCAGTTTCCACTTGTATTTCAGAAGACAAACATTCTTAGTTATCCCGGGATGTGTTTGCCATTTCCAGAGACAAAGATGTTTGTGCTGCTCCTGGGTTCAGTAGTTCACTGAAGTGATGGAGAGTAGGATATAATCTTTTCTAATTTCACTGGGCCATGCCTTGATAAACACGAAGTTCTCAGCTCTCAGTGAGCACGAGAGGAATTGGTGGCATTCAACATGACAAGGTATTCTGAAATTCCTTATTTCCTTGTCTCCATCAGAACATATATTTTTAAATAAGCTGCTCTGACTGCAGACGCAGGTGGGAAAAGGACATTCCTAAGGCAAGCTTGCAGAGGAATATTTGAAACAACACCTGTTGAGCCTCCATTACTTTTACAGTTTTCTGGTGAAACCTTTAAATGCTTCTCTTGATAAGGAATAAAAAAATCTGAGTCACTCTTTGTTCTTAATCCACAGTAGCAAGTCTGCACTTTTATTTGCCGATAAAGCCACCATACTTCCCCAGGGACTTTTGCTAAAGCTGAGCTGAAGATTCAATCTGAAGACATGCCTCTGTTTTTCAGATTTAATCATGAATGCTGTAGAAAAAGTCTCCTGAAACCAAACAAAGCTCAGCTGTGTTTTTAAAGTTTCAGGTTTACAGCCTTCCTATGTCATCACTCAGTTGAACAATATAAAAACCTTACAATGCAGTTCAAATAATTCATGTAATTACCATGTACTCACTTTAATTTCAAGACCAGAGTACTGTAATTCAAAACTAGACAAGCTGCCTATTTCTCACATTGGTGCTTTCTCTCTTTAATTCACCAGGAAAGGAAAGTTTTACAGGGAGAAGTAATACATCATTTACTGAACCAAGTAGAAAAAGGACAGACTGAGAACAACGGCTTTCAGTTTCACTTAATTAAACTGGACCAAGAGGAAATGACTCTGCCAGGAACTGAAAACCAGAGAAGGATGTTCTGGTCTCTGCTTCAGTAGGGAAAGTACTGCACTGTTCAGAGTAGCTTAATTTGTGAGGCACAAGACATGTTAGTTTGAGTCAGGAGAGCAAAAACAGACTGGCTCTGGAGCAATGCTTCCTTAGTGCAAACCTCACAGGAACCCACTGCATGTTGAATCTAAAGAGCTCTGTGATACTGTGTATTAGCTTGTATTAGATATACTCCCTCTTGCAAAATGTTCCTGTTAACAGTGTAGAATAATCCTGAATTATGAAATCTATCCTAAATTTCTGAAATTCTGTGATATCTTTTTCCCCATGACTTGATTTTTGTTTCATCCTAGACTTTTGCAAAGTTGTCCAATGCAGACATTTGATCTAGAAAAATAAGGAACAGTCATATCAGAGGAAAATTTAACATTATATTCAACAAGTCATCATATTCAGTAGCAAGGCAACCTGGTCCCTTTGTTGGGATGGAATATTATCTAGAGCTTAATCTCTGATGCAGCTGAGATACAGTCCTACTATTTGCTTAGCGGGAACAACATCAGCCCTCAGCAAATAAGGACAGTTACGGAAGACTTTTCAGGATTTTAGCTTAAAATTAATGGCCTGAATCATCATTATTTTCCTAAAACTCAAGCACACTATAGATCTTGTTCGTGTAGATGTAAGTGTAAATAGCCAATGGAATTAACAAATTCTACACTTTATGAACAGAGCGTAGCTATGGCCAACATATCAAGAAGTCTTGGAACACAGAGATGGGCACTAGGGTTCTGGGCAGTGTGAAGATAAGTAGTGACTGTGTAGGTATGGCCCTTTGCAGATAGGAGGCCAAGTCCAATGTGTCACTTCTCACCTCATGTTTTTGAAGGGTTGGAAGTGGCAGTAGAATGTTGCAATGGTCACAGGTCACCAGTATGTCAAAAGACTGAGTGTCTTTAAGAGCTTGAGATGATGTGGAACATCTGCTTCTTGTGGGAGACAGAAAGCCAACCTTTTTTTTCTTTAAAGGTTTGGAGGTCAGTGGCTGGTCCCTTTCTCTCCCTTTGGAATGGACATCTTTCCATGCCATTGCATTTTCAGAGGAGGAAGAGGGAGCCAGGGAGGAATAAGACTCTCTGCTTCCCCAGTGACCCTTGGAGCACTTCAGGGCATCAAAGTACGTGCTGGGGAAATTTCCAACCTGCATTTCCTTCCTTGGGATACTCTGTTGCGGCTGGGATGGACCGACGGTAGCAGAGGCCCCAGCAGCAGCAGGTCCTGTCTCTTGCTGGACTTCAGCATTTTTACATAGGAAATTTTAGAAGAAATATAAGTTAGAGAGAAAAATAAACAGAACTTCACGTTTTCAATGCCAGTACCAGTACCTTCAGGACTTTGTGATGGAAGGCCAAGCACTTGTGTACCTGCTGCTACAACTGATCCCTTCCAGCCATATGATAAGCGCCATCTCTGATGTGACAGACCCTGCCCAGTGTGAAAAAATTATATACAGGAGATGCGGAAAATATGAACTGACCTTCTTAGTCTGTGAAATTGGGGCAATAATATTAATTCTTCCACTTTGCAGAGGTATTGGAAAGAATAATTCACTAGTCTTTGCATAATGTATCAGATAGATAATGCCATAGACAACAGCTGTCACAGATGTTACTCGGAAATTAGTGTGGTTCATTTCCCATCTAAACAAGCCCCTTCTGTCCCCCATCTTTCTCTGGAAAAAAGGAAAAAGGAAGCGCAATAAACCATTATTAGATCTGGAAATAATGAGTGTTTATCTGGATTTTGTAACACAAATTATGTAATGAAGCAGAGAAAAGGCTTTTGAAAACAATATGTTAATGAGATGGCAGCTAAGGGAGAGATTACAGAGCTGCCAATTCTGAATCAAATTTTAATGTGATTTTCTCCTGGATCTCTTTTTCTTTTGTCATCATTAACCTGCACAGCACTTGAATGTGGTTTAGGGCTTCACGCAAAGTATGCAGGACCAATTCTAGGTCAAGAAAGCCTGATCAGCAACACACACTGACTGAGAAAACCCCACTGACTCAAAATTCATAATGAGGGCTTTTATGTAGAAAGTTGTTGGGCACAGGGATTGTGCTGAAAGGACTATTCGTTCAGAGTCTCAAGAGCTTTTCTTGGAAAAATATCAGATGATCCACTGGGAGCTTAGTTGAAAACTACTTCTGAGCAGCACAGTGGACTGGCAATAGCTGGGAAATCTTGATTGGAGAGAAAATGGAGAGCAATGAAACAGTGATTTTTCTCTGAATGCCGGCAATAACTCCATCCATTTAAATACTGTGTAATCCTTCCAGTACATAGTATTACTGTACAAGACCTCCTCTAGGCATCTTTTTAAGGCAAACATCACACAGAGGTAAGTTCTGAGCTGGTTATTTTTTAAATGTGATTTTTAAAAGCCTAAGGAGAAACACTTCTTTAAGTCCTAGAATGTCTCATGGTCAATTGTTCTAATTTTTGTTTCTCAGCATCGATACGTCTTACAGTCCTTGTTTAATTTAATTTTGTTAAAACTTCTGTACCTCTGGGTACATGAGCTTGCAACATGAAAGAACTTTAAAAAGAATGTGAGGAGAATTTTTATTGTGAGAAGGAGTAGCAGTTATCTAGGTCAAATGGACTGCTTTAGAACAAGCAAACTGTACTTGTATGCTTGGGCAGCATTTGAATTAGAGGCAGAAAATATGTCTACCTGTAATTAAATGAACCAGATGCTGCCTCTAAACCCTCCTTGACACAGACCATTCCTATCCACCAATAACCGGAGTAACTGGGATGACTGGCTTGTAGTGAGTGTGATATATCAGAAAAGCAGCTTCTCAGAAGTGAACTAAACTATAATAAAATCTTTACTTTCCAATTTTTCCACCTGGACTGATGACCCTGGAATTCCTACCTTCCAAGTGGGATTGATTTCTAGTCCCTTTCTAATAACCAAAAAAATGCAGGTCAGCCTTCTTTAACTAGTCTTCAGCAGTGTCCCACTTCCAAGTGGAACTCAAAAGTGGTTCATATCATTGACTCTGGTATCTGAAGTACAAAAGGGAAGATTGCAAGACTGTGTGTATGGTTTGACAATGCTGTCAAGCTCATCTAGGCATTTGCTCTCTTGAAAGGTGTGGTTGTTCCTGTCCCAGCTGTTCTTATGCCCAGCCGTAAGTGGCTCATTCTCTTTTAAGCTGGCTCTGATGCTCATTGAACATTTCATTGAACCTACTCACCTCACTAACAGCAGAAAAATGTTCTGCTTTCTTTGTCAAGTTAAATTGAATAAGCCCCAAAGCCACTAGCTGAGAAATGGCAAGAAGGCCAGGGCAGGTTATTGTCAGTGAGACACAAGATGGGCTTGGCTCTGTTACTCTAATCCTCAGTTCTTGGCATGCTTCAAAATACCTATATTTATTAGGGCAGCAGAACAGCCAATGGGAGCAGTGGTGTCTAGCAACCAGGAAAAGGGATTTCAGGTACAAGAGACCTGATTCAGCTCCTGGTTCCAACTCATGTTACCACCCATGCCTAAACCTCTTTGTAACACAAAGATTTGAGTTCCTTTGTAAACTGATTTGAAGTTTACCACCAAGAACAAGAACAGCACATTATTCCACATTCCATTTTGGCCCAAAATTTGGCCCAAAGCCTGCTACAATATTCTGCTTCTAAATACTGTCTGCAACCAAAAGCTAATTTTACCCATTGCCTTTAAAGCAGTTGTCAAAGCCACTGCTCTCTGCTATGTTCAGAGCAGTACTGACTGGAGGAAAGGATCCCTTTCTCCTGGAAGCCTGAAATTAGTGCTCAATTGGCATGAGTTGAATTTCAGGCTGTGGGAGGTTTTTATTTGAATGCTCTTTAGACCACCTAAAACTTCTCCTGGATGTTTTTCAAGCACATGGGCTCTCTGCAGCTCCCTTCTGCCCAGCTGTCAGACCTGTCTGTAAAGCAAACAGCCAAAGCTTTGTCCATTTTCTTCTTGGCACAGCGAAGAGGAAGCTCATCATCAAATTATGTGAAAGAGCTGCCATTCCTGTACCACACTTATGTCCAGCCAGTGCCAAATGCAGCTCAGTTGTAAGCATATTTTGATGGAAATGGGGAACAGCTGGGATATTTGCCAAATGGAACATGCTTCTCCATGCTCCTCTCTGTTGGTGCAGGCTGATCTCTGAGAGGCATGCCCACTCTCAGCCTGTACTGTAAAGCCCTCTTTTACCCATCTTGATTAGGGCAACTTTCCCACCTCCTTATCTGAATGTAGATGTCTCCTCTCTTGTCCTCACTCAGTATTCTTTTTCCTGCCTGTGTTGTTGCAGTTTGCCATAATACATGATTATGTGGTTCTAACATCTGGATTCAGTCAACATCTCACTCTCCTGGTTCTTACAGTAGAACATGAACTGACACATGTAAACCTCCAGTGGTTTATAAAATATTGAGAGACGTATCTTAAATATGAAGTGTGCAGTGGCAGGATGGCTTGAACAAGGTGATGTCAAGGTCAGAATTTACCTTTCAGGTTTACAGGTTCAGTTCAGTGCAGGAGATTGTCTTTGCTGCTCTGCCTCAGCCAGCTGCTGTGATTGGTTTTAGTTGAATTCCTAGCAGACTTCCACAGGAATTGTAGTTGGCACTAATTCAGTTTCTTCTCATCAGTCAGCACTGACATTGTTCATGAAGAAATATTCCATGTGCACTCCAACAAACCAACCTGTTCTCTTCCTGAAGCAAACTTCTAGAAAAGGAGCCTACTTCATCAAAGAAATAAAGAAGTAAAAGTTGCTCATTTCCATGTACCCACTTGAGATTTCTACCCACTGCTGCTTTTGATTAAAGTGCTGGGAATGCCTTAAATTTAAAGTTTCTAAAGGCAGCTCATCAATGCTGGTCTTCATTCATGAAAAGATTACAGTTGCTTAGTTTAGGACCTGCATCTGAGATAAGAAAAGCTCAAATAAAGAAAATCTAGGCATTCTATCTTTCAAATCTGGACGCAGTGTTTTTCCTAGATCTCTCTCTCTTTCAACTGATGTTAACCATGCAGCTCTGCCAGAAGCTTTGGGAAGTGGATATTTATCCCTAAGGGTCAAGTACTTACTGGTCTTGATTGACACCTCCCTGTTTTCCTCCTTTGCTCCTTCCTTTCTGGTCTATAATCTATTGGGAGGCCTGCACCATCGTCTCATTCCTGCCATAAGTCAGCTGATCATGAGAAATCCAGGGACCAATGCCTCTCCCTCTTGTCCCAAAAGTAGACCCTTTGCTGGTGTGGTGCTCCATGAGCATCAGCAGGGAGTATCCATTTCCTTTCAATGTAATTCCCTATTATTCAGATGCTGGTTCTTTTTTGTGAGTCTTTTTCTGGTTTGTTCCATATTATTGGAAGTATTTTGCCTGGCACAATGAAGTCAAGTTTGCAATAATTCTGCACAATAAGAAAATACCGATTCCCTTTTCTGTATTTGACACAAAAGGGCTGAGGCATGAATTAGCTAATTGAACAGCCTACAAGAGTCCTTGGTCTCATCCCCAGGTACAGCAACAAGCCTCTTTTCACAGGATTATTCTATCTAAAGGTATCGACACATTTGTTGCCTTTATTTTCTTTCTTTTTTTTTTTTTTTTTGCACTGCATCATATTGATACAAGAAGACAACAAATCACATTTGCACTGGTCTATCAGAGTGAACCAAAGTACAACTCCTTTAGAGTTAACTATTTGGATTTTATTATTTAAGTGTTTGTAGTTCTTTTTCTTTTTTGACTAGGAACCATTTTTTCATTGGAGATCAGCTACAGGAATGCGAATTTTGGCTGATTCCCCACTTTCTGTTAGACTTTGCACTGGTGTGAAGTTTCCTCTGTGCTGGTAAGTTACCCAAAGGGACTGCTGCAAAAGGTTTGAAGATTTGGAATCTGTCCAGATCCGGTTGGCTACTTTTTTCCTTAGTGGGCATTCACTGCTTTTATAAACGAACAGTAACATTGGAGTGTCTTGTTTTGAACTTCTGTCACTCAAGTTGCTCTGGTCAGCAGAGGACAAATAGTGCAAGCTGTAGTCAGAGCTCCCTCATTACTTGCTGTGGAATCTGAAATTCTTTATTTCAGTGATAACTGCTTGGTAAGACTGTATGAAGAGACTGTGGATCAAATTGCTGAGATATGATTTATGCTGACTTCAGTTTCAGGTGGCTGTTGCCATCCCAGAAGCAGAGCCTAAAATACCAACAGTTTGTTTGTCCTTAGTCTAGTTTCCAGTCCCTGCAGTTGTTCCTTTCTGCTCTCACGATAATGCTGGCCAACCTTCGGTTTCCGAGGCTGCACTGTAGACCAAGTCACTGAATTCAACAACATTAGAAACAACCTTTCAAGTTAACCTTTCTGGGTTATTTTTAACCCACATCCAGACGCACAATACCTCACAAAATAATAGCAAAACACAGCCATGCATGCCTGCACAGACCTTTGTTTTGGGGAGACCTCCAGTGTGATTTTAACTCTCAGTTTCCCTAAAGGAGCTCAGTCCTTCCTCACCACTCTGTGAATGATCGAAGCACGACCCTTCCTTGGCGCCACCAGCACCTCCCGAAGGTCCAGTGTCAGCACTTCGGTCCCTGCGCAGGATGTGTGAATCCGTGCTTGCTGGCACCTTTCTGTGGGCGCTGTGAGCAGGGAGATCGTTCTTAAAACATTCTCCCGACTGGTGTGATAGCTGATACACAGCCATTGAGCAGCTTTCCTTGGCATGGAGGCGCTGCAGAAGCCCCGCATAGAGATGGCCGTAAGAGAGGGAGTCCGGGACCGGTCCCGCGCCGTGACCCGGGGCCCCAACACGGAGGGCGGGTCGGAGCGCGGCCGGCGAGGCCGGGGCCCTCGGTACGGCTCGTTCTCTGACGGGCCGTGCCCGCAGCGCTGCCCGGGGCCGCCCCCGGCGGGGCGGGCGGGACGTGTTGCCCCCCGCCGTGCCCTCACGTCCCTCCCGCCCCGTACTTAAGGCAGCGGCGGCGGGCGCTGCTCCCGCTGACGCCCTGATCGTGTCACCCCACAGAACATGGCCCCGATGTGCCTACGGCCCCTACTGAGGTACCGCTCCTTCGTCATCCTCTTCCTCACGCCGCTGCTGCTGCTGCCGCTGCCGCTTGCTGTGTCCACGCGGGTAAGTGCCTGAGGGGTCCCTGCCCTGTTGCCCCCGAGGAGATCCCACTCTGCCCTCGGCGCCTGGCCCTGCTCCCAGGGGCTTCCACGGACCCAACCCATTAGTGCAATTAGATGCAATTAATTATGGGCCAAGACAAATCCATGCATAACGGGCCGGCGCATTTGGAATTGTGCCTTGTATTATCTTGAAGTGACGGCGGTGGGATGAAGGGCAGGAGTGCATTCCCCACTTTCTGCTGAGGCTTTGGTACTCTGACTATGTTGCTTGGTGGCATTCTCTATCCTGGTGCAGTCAAAAGCTGGCGTTGTGTGTATGCACTGATGAGGGTTTCAAATGCCATATCCTCCAATTCACATCCTTCTTACTCCAGGGATGGCGATAGCACAACTCCTTTGCATTCAGTGGAGTTATACTGGCATAAGATTAAAATAATCCAGTGAAGAGTTTGAATTTAAATATCCTGTAGCCTTCTTGACCAAATGTGAAAGTTCTATTTGCAGTATTTTAGCCTACTAGACCTTTGGAGGCTATTCTAATGCTCAAAACAGCCTTTCTGAGCGACCTGTATTGGTCGGTCTGTTTTAAAGTACAGGAAAATTTCATATGTGTTTATAAACCAAATTGCCATCCCTTTGGTTTACCTAAGTAATACCAGCCCTGCCTTTCAGTTGAATGGTAGTGCTTTATAGAACAAAGACTTTCTGACTGTTAAGCTCTACTTTGGTCAAAACTAGGAAAGATAATTTCCCTAAAACAATTAAGTATGTCTTCAGTTTTTCAGTATTTGTAGGCATATTGTTTTGCCAGTCTAATCTGAGAAATGACAGTATTTCATAACAGGGGAGTGACATTCTGTCACTGACTGCCTTTTGATCTCTCAGCGATGAGGCAGGTCACTGTACAGTTGATACAAAACACCAAAGAAACATTCGGTGGCTACTCTGATAAATCACAGAAATAGGCATAAATACAAACATATATTTAATTCCAAATGTTTGGTTGTTGGAATTGGCTGTGGTTGTTGGAGTTAATTTATAACCATGGTTGTATTTTTGAACTTCACATGAATTATTTACTCTCTACTCTCTAAAACCAGTGTTCCTTCTCTGTTGTGAATTTTATTCACTTCCAGTTGTTTATCTGTCTTTCATGTTGGCAACAGATTATCCGCAGTCAGTTCCACCCCCGAGTTAATGCAGTACAGCATGAATTGTATCATAAACTCACCTTGTATATATAAAGGGAAGGGACTTTCTTGGGATCCGTCTGATATCTTTTACTTTCTGAATAATTTTTTTTCAAAACTTTTTGGTTTTTTGTGCTATAATTAGTCTCCTGGAAACCTGACAGAAAAAAAAAATCAAATTTCTTACAAAGGCTGTTTTCTGGTTCTTAAACTTCTCAACAAAATGAAGGGAAAAAAACCCCCTATTTATAAATATCATCTGACAGTGGTTTTTAAATGTCACTGTCACACCATTTATTTTAGCAATAAAGTCCCATTTGTTGTATTAGAATAAAATCCTATAAACCCATGCTCTATGAGCAAATACCGGACTACAGAACATCGACTTCAGCTTTCAAACAGTTCACTGTTAGCTAATGAATGCTTGCTTCTCCCAACAATTTTGAGAGTACAAACCAAGGAAGGCTGCACTACAAAAATGCCTGATCAACAATCCAAAAAGACAGGTTGCAACAATTCTAACTGAGGAATCCCCTTGGCAGGTAGGCACAGTATGACTTGGGAAAGTAATTAAATACCTATAACGTGCTTAGTTACCAAAAAACCCCAAAACTTTTATTTTAAGAGTTACTTTAAAAAGCGAAGAACATGGACACACCTTAAAGACTTGTGAATTTCAGGCAAGCTAATCACCCACAATGGGAAATTTGGCCATCCATTTAAAAATAGTTTAATTCACTATTGCTGTTCTTGGCTTCTAGATGTGAAATCTGCTGACCTCAACTGCCAGGAGGTAATTGCACATGGCAAACTGTGCACTTACCTAGTTGTGGAAGGTTTGTTTTTCTCACACCATTTATTTTGTGTGGATAGATTAAAACAAACACCATGGTCTTCTTTGTCAAAAAGATCTTTTTATACAAGTGACTTCAGAACGTGGTTTAAAAGCACAAGTTTAAATCCTCATTCAGCATAACTTGTTAAGCTGCAGACAGTGTAGTGTGTGAGCCCCTTTTCAGAGCTACCAATGTGTTTCTTATCTTTAAAAATAGTTTTCTATGCTTAAATGTGTCTTCTATTGTGTTTCAGGAGGCCAAATGTGCATATATCATCATCATCATGGCTGTGTATTGGTGCACCGAAGTGATCCCCCTGGCTGTCACTTCCCTCATGCCAGTGGTGTTTTTCCCTCTGCTTGGAGTTCAGAGCTCTAAATCAGTAAGGAACTCACTAAATTCAGCTCTTATGCAGGGAAATCCAGTGCTCTGATCCCTCATCAATATTTAACCAGCAAGTCTGTATTAGTGTTCAGGGTTCTTTTATTGGAAGATGCTGAACTAAATACACTTTTGCCCAAAATGTTGAGAGTGGGGCGCTTGAGTTGGTAGAGGGAAGGGTCTGTTTTGGGCACAGATCCTCCTGGGGAGAATCGCACTAGTGCCAGCAGTTTATGTGTTCATATCCCATCCCATGAGAGAGCAATGCTGACAGATAGATCCTCTGGGAGATCTCAAAATGCATGGGACAAACTTCTGACAGAATAGACAGTGTGGTGCCAGCAGATATGCTGTGTCCTCAGCTCATCCTGGGCTGTTTCCAGGTTCTGTAGCCCACGTCACTACTGACCAACAAGCTGGTAAAGGCAGGTGTGGTTGCTAAATGTGCTGAGAAACCTGTTTTGGAGTGCAGTGTTTCCATCACCTACACCACACTTTGAGCCCCTAACAATGTTTTAGGAAACTGATATGCTTTTGTACAATGATGTACAACGAGCCTCTGCACAGACAGTTCAGCATTTACATGGGATGAAGGGTTCTGAAAACTGCAGGGAGCTCTGAGGCTGCAGCTGTTATCTTCTGCCAGTGTTGGGTGGGGCCTGATCTAGTCTGTGGCTTTGAGAGGGTGGAAGGCAAAACGTACTAGGGAAGCAAGTAAGAGGCAACTTTTGGGCCCCTGACTTACCTTTTCTGTCTTTCAGGTGTGCTTGCAGTACCTCAATGACACAAACATGCTCTTCGTTGGAGGGCTGATTGTTGCAATTTCTGTTGAACAGTGGAATCTTCACAAAAGGATTGCACTGAGGGTCCTTCTGATTCTTGGGGTGAAACCTGCACTGTAAGAGTATTAAATTGCTTCTTTTTTGCCTCGTGTCAATTTAGCAGAGGCCTAGGGATGGTGTTTAACCATCAGCAGAGAAAGGATCCTTCAAGAATCTCTTTAGCTGTACTTACACGGAGTTTCCACGGGTGAAGTCTAGCAAGAGGAACAGTTTATTTGTCCTTTAGCCAAAACCAGTATCTGACTAAATTGTAGAGGCTTGCCACCAGGGACAAAATTATGACAGTCTGAATCATTCACTGGGATTCCTTCAGTGAAGGTGGCAGAGCTGTCCTAGAAGGGAATCTGGTCCTGTTCTCTGTTATTGGATGCTGCACACATCCCCATTTGGGCTTTGCTCTCCAAATTACAGTAACTACAAAGCCAAGCAGTGCCTGTTTGCTTTCCTCCTTTCTCCTCTCCCTCTTTGTCTCTTTTCAGCCTCATGCTGGGATTTATGATAGTCACTGCCTTCCTGTCCATGTGGATAAGTAATACAGCCACCACTGCCATGATGGTTCCCATTGTCCAGGCTGTCCTGGATCAAATGGACAACACAGAGTATGATGTGACCATGATGGAACAAGCAGTTGGGCAAACAAATACAGTGATTGAGCTGGAGGAAAAGAGCATATCAGATCCCACTGCAGTGCATGGTAAGGACCTGCTCACCAATGAACTTATTACAGTCATAGCTCCCGAGCCTAGAAGGAGTGCTTGGTACCTTTTCCAAGGGAAGAGAATGGTGACCTGACTGAAAACCCCTAATACATGACCTTTAGGTTTTACAAAACAGCTTCAATTTTGGTGGTTGCCATTTTGTTATACTAGTGCTAGATCCCAGACAGATTGTTATGTTCTTTCCTTTGAGCTGGAGTCATTCTCCCAGAATTTCCCTAGACTTAACTATCTGCTCAGGGGAGTGAAAAACATATCCTGGGGGAAATAACCATCCAAACCCCCTGAATCCCACTTTCTAAATATTGTGATTATCAGTGGAGATTTAGCTTCCAAGCCACATGTAGGAATATTTGGGAAAAAAAAAAAAGGAAACACAGTCCATTTTTGTTCTAGGGTAATAAATATCTCTTTATTGACCAGATTGTATGTGGAGGTGGGGAGACAAAAGAGGACTACTTTAAAAGCCACATGGAAAAGAGGAGCTGGTGTAATTTGACTCACAGTAGACCAACTGCTCTTTGGAACTCTCTACAGCATGATCTTAACCCTGATGCTTGTTTCCTCAAGGTCCTCTGCTGATGCCATGGTTCTGCAGTAGATTTCATTTGATTTGAACCATGTGCACAAACTCAGTCCTTCTCATTTCACTGGTCTGCTGTGCTGTTACAGAGGGCTGTATTATTAAATATGATTAAAGACCAGATCTCAAGTGTAGTGAAGGTAATAAGCATGCAAAAAAATACCCTTTGGTTTTGTTGAATTGGTTGTAATTGCCATAAATTCTTTGTCCTGCTCCATTAGTCCAGTCAGACTTCAAGATTAGAGAACAATGGACCCAGCAGCACAGTTTCACTGTTACCGTAAACTGATGTGACATATTGATTAAGTTATGCCAAGCAAGGATTTGGGTTTTGATGGTTTTTTTCCCTGCCCATATTCATAACTGTTAAAGCCAGTTGGATTCTTGCTGTGGGATTGGAATGGTTCCAGTGACTAAAATATCTGGCTGGTTGTAAGCCTCTCTGTGAAACAGGAAATTACTGCTGAGGAACTGTGACACTGAAATGGACAATAGCATCCTTGGATCATGTAGATCCAGACTGCCAGCCTCCCTCTTTAGCTCCTCATGAACATGAGTCCAAAGTATTCAGGGACATATTTATGATTTCTTTAATTAAAATAAATATCATATACAAACTAGAAGCACTGGACCTGCAGACCCTATTCTGAATTCTCTGCCTCCCTAACTTTACCTCAGGCAAGTTGTGTTCTTTGTGTCTAGTCATAAGCAATGGACAAGTCCCTGATGACCCCAAATCTTCTGAAGAAAAGAAAATGAGGAAGCGTATATGCAAGGGAATGACACTTTGTGTATGCTATGCTGCCAGCATTGGAGGAACTGCAACACTCACTGGAACAGGACCGAACATGGTACTGAAAGGCCAGATGAATCAGTAAGTCATTCTTGCTGCTTCTTTTAGTTATACTATCATAGTGTTTCTCTGACCAACTGACTGGTCTTAGATAGCAATTTCAGTTGTAAACTTTAAGCAATAAGTTGAGGAACTGAGAGTGAGAAATGTGAATGAGGTGTTGGATCTCATTTTTTTGCTTCAGCATCTTTTAAAAGGTAGCTATGTGATGGAATTATAGGTCTTCTGAGAAAATTGTGAATACTTGCTGGCAATTGACAGACAGCCGGTTGATTATGAGATATTGGTTCTTCTGCATTCTCTTTTTCAACTGAAATATACAGCACATCAGAAGAGGAACTGCAGTGAAGGGCATCAGAAGAATGTAGATTACCCATAAGCACACCAAAGAGAGCTAAAAGTAGCTTAGCCTCTCCTACAATACTGTTCCTCTATCCTGTGGCTGTGGAAACAGTACAGTTATATTGTACTCTTATTGCTAAACTGATTTTGGGAACTGATTTACTTGGAACCTAATCTGCAGTGGAAATTTTGCAGACTCCACATCAGTCCCTCAACACTGCTTTCTTCTGTTGCAAGTATTTCAGCCTCAGCTACTGCATTATCTGTTGATTTTAACACCCAGCTGGAAGTATTGATACTTTCCCTCCAATTGTTATTAGCAGACACAGGGAAGAGCAAAAATTACTGTTCTTAAAACACTGGTTTCATTCTTTCAGGCCAACTAGCAACTTTGTCTTCTACTGAAGGGAGCAGAAGTTCAAGTGTTAATTTCAGGAAATTAATTTTCAGGAATGACAGTTCTTGCTCTCTTATTACAATGAATTGGGAGGAAGAAAGAATGTCCTGTCTTGGGATAAACAAGCAGGCATGTTGGAAGTGGAAGGTACCTGTATGGGAGAGCTTTCAGCCATGCTTATCTTACTGAGATCTAATATATCAACATGAGCTCCTATATGCATCAAAGTACAACACAGGAAAAAATGTGAGGATCATTAAAGGGAAAGTAGATTATGTTTTTTGACTTTCACAGACAAAGCACTTTTCATTTCAGGTTATATCCCAACAATAATGATGTTGTGAATTTTGCTTCCTGGTTTGGATTTGCATTCCCAAACATGATTCTGATGTTGGTGCTAGCTTGGCTTTGGTTACAGTGCTCCTTCATGGGACTCAAGTGAGTATTTGACTACATGATAGTGTGTAAATCCGTCAGTAAGCTAGTGCACATGAATGAAACAAATGCACTGACAAATTACTAATTTTGTAGCACAGAGCAGATCCCTTTCACAACAACTTTTGAGGTCTGGAAACCTTTTGTGTTCATGGGACGTGCACTAGGGCAAAAGCTTACATTCTTAATCTTCAGACAGAATTGTTGTTTTGTTTCTCACACCTGTGAATTTCAGCCCTGGGAGAGCTGGCATAACTGGTTTGCAACTGTTGATTCAATCCTGAGTTTTTCATCCCAGGTTACTTCAAATTGGACAGAAACTGACATCCATTCATTGACTTCATTCTTCTGTGAGAACTGGCACTTCCCCACAAAATACTTTGCACTGTTGTAATTTCTTTGTTTGTGGCCTCTGCTGTAGTCTGTGTCTGTCCCCAAGAGTGACAGCTTCAAAGTGGCAGGCATGTTAAATCCCTCTAGTATGCTAATACTTACAGTATCTTCTTCTCCGTTTTTCTTAAAGCTTTAAAAAAAGCTGGGGCTGTGGGACGGAGGGAACTGCCAAAGAAAAAGCTGCATACGATGTACTGAAGGCAGAAATGAAGAAGTTAGGCCCTATCTCTTACGCTGAATTCAATGTCCTCATCATGTTTGTATTGCTGGTGCTCTTGTGGTTTTCCAGACACCCAGGCTTTGTAAAAGGCTGGGCAACTAGGCTCTTCCCAGAAGGAGAAAAGTAAGTTTTTGGGTTTCTTTCCATCCTTTACCCTCTTGGTTGTGAATAAGATTAATTGATCTATGTTTTGACAATTTGTACAGCAGTGAAGGCTGGAGACTGGGAGATGGAGCAAGCTGATCCTTCTAAAGGAAGAGAAAATTCTGTAACGCTGTCTCAGTCACACTGACATACACCTTGGTATTTTGTTTTGTATGAGCTCCAGTCAGTTGTGGTGGCAATATCACCTCTAACCAATACCTTAGAACTCATGGGAAAATTGATTTTGTGTTTTGACTTCTTTGCATTGTGTGGCATGTTAAGGACATAAAATGCACATTGGGCCTGTCATTCAGGCCATTTCTTTACACATCTGTCTTTGAGATACAACTCTTGAATCTTGGCTTCAGCACAGAGAAGGAACCCTGCTCAAGGAGCCGTTTTCATCTGGGACTCTGATTATTAATTGTGTACAATGTGTATTGTAGCTCATTTGTTTTTTTACTGTGCTTACGTTCTGGCAGGTCTGAGAGACCTCAGACATGGGCTAATGACCTATCTTGCTCAAGTACCAGCCCCAAACAGGATGGCAAAGACCAGTGACTGGAATGCTGGAAGGCAGCCCTCTTCTAAGAGAAAGATGTCCATTTTCTAAGCTGTATTCTCTTTTCTTTGTTAGGTATATCACTGATTCTGCTCCTGCTGTGTTTATCGCCCTGCTACTGTTTATCCTTCCTGCTCATAAGCCCAAATTCATAGAATGGAATTCAAGCATGTCTGACCCTGAACAGACTGAAGAAGGTATTTGAAAGAGGGATTGCAACGTTGTGAAACAGCTGGCCAGTTCAGCTAATGAGGAAGAAACCTGCATTGGATTTGCATGCAGTTCTTAGAGCAGCTCACCTGCCTCACTTGTTGGCAAGTGAGGTTCCCTACTCATGTGTGTTACCCTCACCCTGTGCAGGTTTCTGAGTAATGTGCATCTGCCCACTGGTATCTTATAGAACAGGAGACAAAGTGTCTTCACTCTCCTAAAAAATGTTCTACTTTTCATTTCTCACTTCAGATATAAAAAAGCCATTTTTATCAGCCCCGCTGCTAGACTGGAATGTGGTTCAGAGGAAGATGCCCTGGAGCATTGTGCTGCTGCTGGGAGGAGGTTTTGCTTTGGCTGATGCAAGCGCAGTATGTCCTGACTTCTGTTTTTCTCTGACTCAAAGGCGAACTTCCCTGGTTTGTTATCTAGTCCTGTATTACTGGGCATGCACCCAAAGCCAAACCCAGTAGAGATGTTCAGATCTGGAGGCAGATCTCAATTACCAAAAACTCTGAGGAGAGGTTTGTGACTCTTTTTCGTGAATTTTTGTGCTCTGATCAGGTTTCTTTAATTTATTTTACCTCTTGGAGGCTGCCGAGTAGTTTCAGATCTTCACTGGCTGGATGTTCAGAGAAGCATCCTTTCTTATTTCTGTAATCATCCCAATCTCAGCCCTGGCTAGAAAAATAGAAGTATAGATAACACTTGTAAGATTTTCAGACCCATTTGAGGTTTGTTCTAAGGTTATATGTCTTCAGACTTAAACCAAAACTACTAAAGGGGTCAGAAAGAAAATCATTGTGGTAGGTATCTCTCAAAACTGTGTACAGTGGGGTTTCTTGAACTTCTTGTCAGTGGCTATTGCCAGGCAATGTGCTTCATTCTGTAAGCTCATGCTTTGCTCCTGTAGTCATAAATTCACAGAAAAGGCATCTGAATTTCCGAACAGGAAAGAATCTTGAGGTGAACCATATTGTTTCCTTCATCACTGCTAAAATGCACCTAAATCAAAGCAAGCCTTAGCTATCAGCAGTGCCATACTTTGGGGAAATTAATGTTCACGTCTAAGTTTTATGGCTAATTAGGTTTAAACCATGGGGCAAATGAAAGCTCTAGGGCCCTTCATTCATCTACATACGTCATACTTAAATTATTAAAGCTCAGGAGAATTAGAAACCATAAAGTCAGAGGTTTTGTAAGCTGTTTGAGTCAACTGCTCCCTGTGTTCCTACAGTAGAGTATTCATACAGAATTATAATCTTCAGAAACTGTAGAAGAACATGATAGGAAGCTTCTGGGTCCGATATTAAGTATTTGCAATAGTCTGAGAAATAATTGTTTCTGCTTAACAAAAAACCCATACTTTTATAACCAAAATGTGAGCAAGCTTCTTGGCTTCCCTAAGAATCAGAATAATGGGATTCAGTATTATGTCTAGCTGACAAAGAATTTCTTCTAGTGTTCGTGACAGATCCTTGCACTTTCCTGGATGGTGTTTATATAATTCAGGACTCATTTAGCATTATTTTGTAGGAATGTTGCACATAACATGACTTCCCTGTTCATGTGTCAGGTGTTCTCAACCTCACTGAAATCCCCTTTTTTTTCTTCTCAGAACTCTGGGCTCTCAGCTTGGCTGGGTCATCAAATGACTCCTCTGGGATCTATTCCCCCATGGGCCATTGCAACAGTGCTTTCGCTTATTATCGCCGTCTTCACTGAGTGCACCAGCAACGTCGCCACGGCCACGCTCTTCCTGCCTGTCTTTTCATCCATGGTAAGATTCCTTCCATCCTGTTACCCTGTCAGCTGGGAGATGAGTTAACCTGATGGTCTGGGTGGCAAAGCAATGTTATATTTATTGTCTTGGATGTTTCTTCAGTGTTTTCTCACTGAAAAGGAAGCCAGGTCATGAAGCGAGAGTCACTTTTTCAGTACAAATCAGCAAACAGCAGTTACTTTTAGTCATTTTGCATTTGACTCATCAATTTAGAACTGCGACACACACACACACAAAACCCAAAACAAAACAAAATCCAGCACTTTCTGATCGTGCCTTTGAATGATTCATCTTCATGTTTTTGTGATAAAATACACAAAGTGGCAGGTCTGATTATGAGAAATGTGTCATTTCTCATAGGAAGCCAGAATAATTTTAAACCTTACACAGGAAAACCTGGTGAGTTTCACTGCCTTTTCTGAGTAGAATTGAAAGTATAGCATAAAGGAAAAAACCAGATTTCTCTGTTCTTTAATTTGGAAAGTACAAGCACTTTATTCTAGACCATTTCATCACAATAAAATAACCCCCATCAAGGTACTGAGCTATTAGTGACTTGAATTGGCACTTAAATTCTGAGTCCCACAGAGTTTATGTAAAGTCTAAGAGTGTCACTCCACGTGCCTAGTAATTATAATTCCATCCCCGTGTTCCCTGGCAAGAGGGTGGTTCGAGGTCAAAGAAAAGATGTATTTGACCAAATGTTGGATGTATTTGACCAAAACTCCAAATTATACCATAAAGCAAAACAAACAACAAGAAAGAATCAAACCTTGTTTTTCAGTATTATGGGACAGGGAACAACAGCAAAGTTATCTTTAAGCACATGTGGATTTCAGAATAAAATGTTTGTAAATTACTCTGGTGATGTAATGCCAGGAAACAAAATGAGCCTGTGTATCTCAGCGGTCTGGGATCGATTGATCCTTTATGCTTTTCTTTTGGAAGACCTCCAATGTGATATTCTGTCCATTTCACTGCAGGCTACATCTGTCAAGATCCACCCTTTGTATGTTATGCTGCCTGGTACTCTCAGTGCTTCCTTTGCCTTCATGCTACCTGTTGCAACACCACCAAATGCAATAGTGTTTTCTTATGGCCACATCCGTGTTTTGGATATGGTAAGTTGATAATTGCCTGGTCTCTTATCTGACACCCTCCACTGCTTTTATCCTAAAATCTGGTGAGAGTTTCCTTTTCTTTGCCAAGTATTTCCAAAGTATTAGGAAGCTCTTACGGACTGTAACTACCACCTTACGCCCCTCTCTTCTGCAGTGTTAATACTGTGATAAAGATTTGCATCTCTGAAGTAACGGTACTTTTCTCACAGGCTTGGCAGACATACAGTGCAGCCCAAATGAAATGAAAAACTGACAAGTCATGTCTCTGAAATCTGAGGGGTTAAAGCACAGGCAGTGCTCTGTAGTGTTCTGGGGCTTTGGGCAGAGTGTCTGAGGCTTTGTCTCCACTGGAGCTCAAAGCAGAAGGCAGCAATCAGGAGCCCTCAGCTCTGGTCCTCTGATTGCCTGCCAGCCCACACAGGGCAGGTTCTGGGCGGAACACCCAAACATTATTGGTTTTCTAACTGGAGACTTGAAGAGGGCAGAAGCTGTTCTCTAACTAATAAGAACAACTTATTGCACATGCCTTAAAGCTCTAGACTGGTTATATAGAGCAGTTATATAAGGCAGTGGGTAAAATGGCTATTTCTGTGATTTATTTGACCATCTTTCTTGTGCATGTACAAACAGGCCTTGCTGCAGTTTACTGTGCTGGTGTTTAGGTGTTGCTGGTTTGGACTTGCTGTGCTGATGTTTGATTATTGTTGTTGGTTTGGACTTTTGTCCTCACAGGTTAGATCTGGAGTAGTGATGAACATCATTGGAGTCTTCTGTGTCACACTGGCCATCAACACATGGGGAAGACCTATGTTTGAGCTGGACACATTCCCAACCTGGGCAAACAGCACAATGAACCAGTGAACAGAGAAGAATTCTTGTGTTAAAAAAGGAAAGCACCCTTTATACTACTCCCTATTTCCCGAAGTCCTGTATAGAGTCTCATCACCACTTCAGATCCAGTGTCAGGTGTTTGCTGCCTTCCAGCAGTTACACCTCAGTTCAGGCTTGACCCAACTCAAACTTACTCCAGTCGTGCTGGAGCCAAAAGTGTTGTTCAGCTACACAACCCTAAGGAACATGTGTCTAGATCATAAATATGATCATGTGATCCACTGTACCTCCAATCAAGGTCAAGAATTAGAATTTATTGAACTTTCCATAAAGAGAGGGGAGGCTGTTGTATGAAAAGGTTTGAACTGTTGTATCACTGGCATGTACATGTAAATCATTAGCATTGAACTGCACTCAGGCAGGGGCTGAATATTCCTAAACTATTTCTTATATTTGCAAGTCAGCAACCATACAAAGAAATCACTGTGGTCACTTGTTTAGGGAAGAAGGGGCGTGTTGCCTTATGCTGTGTTATGTTTGAGTCAGGCCTCAGCCATGTGGTAGGATCCTTCCAAGTCAACATCCAACATGCTTTCTCTTGCCTTGTCTTCACTCCCAAATCTCACTGCATTTAGACACCTTTATTGAGGGCTGAGAGGACATAATTCTGTGCTGGTCATTCAGCTGATGTCTTGGGCAAGGATGCATTAAGGCTGGCTCCGTGTTTCGTGCACTGTGGTACTGTCAGGGCCAGGAGCCTTTACCTCTCTCAGCCACAGATGTGGTTTCACATGCCAACTAGAGTTTTCTGAGTGCCAGCCTGAAGATGACCAGTGGCCTATAGCACTTCACACCTGTTGCAAGAGTTCCTGGATTAGCCCCTGATGTGCCTTATTAATTAACTCTGGAAATTTGGAGTGGAGTGAAGACATGAGAAAGGCTCTAACTGATGACCTGGTAAAAAATTAAGGGACCAGATGTTAGGGCTTATGCTGGCTGACAGGAATGGGAGTTGTTTTGTGTACTTCAGAATTCATATCTTGTGAGGAAAGTGTTTTGTAGCACCTCTTTGTGCCATTTATGGAACTGAAGTATCCTACAGAATGATTGTTGTTGGGCTGGGTGTATTTTATCAGTGGTACGTGGATGCTTTTCATTCAGCCCTGGAGATGTAGGTGGGTGGGAGGTAAAGCAGTGTCTTACAGTGGAGAGATCTGTGGCCGTGACCTGAGTTCTGCTCCCAGACTTTCTGTGCAGCCCCATGCAAGTCAGTTCAGCTCTTTTTGCCTGTTTCCCCTCCTGAAGAAGATGTCATGGAACCTATCTACCTCACCAAGGTGGTGTGAGGACATAAGGGTCAAATTCTGCACTCGTGTTGTTTCCCACCTCATTATAAGGGGTGCAAGGTACAAGTTACAGAATCATAGAATTCTGTCCAGAAGATCTGGCATATACCATAGTAGTGTGTGTGTAGGATATTTAAATAGTTTTGTTATGAATGTGAATGTTCTTTATGGAACTGGAAAAATATTCACATTTTTATCTAAAATTGACGAAAGTATTTATCCATAAAATGTCCAGGTGCTTTTCTAAGCAGAAAACTGCTTCAACAATTGATTTTTGTGCCTTTATCTTCTATGCTCTTTCAAGGTGCTAAGCACCCTAAACTCTCCACTGACTGTTGCTCCTGGGTGCCTCCAGTAGCTCCCTGTCTGGCTGTTATGTGGTGCCGCCTCATACCTCTTCCAGGGAATGGTGGAGCACGTGGATAAACACAATTCCACTTGCAGAGTGTATCTAAGGAAGAGGCCAGTTCTAGGCCCAAGAAGTGGCTTGGTCACTGATGTTTGTCACCACCTGAAACTTTATCACAGTATTCGCTTGAAGAAAGTGAAACCCGAAACAGTTGAGCACCTTCTGTGCTTTAGCAGTCAGCATTCAATGGTAATTTGCAGGTATCTAAACATGATTGAGAAAGGGAGTTTTTCTGCCTTCTGATTGACTTCACAGTATGAGAACACCTTACTGCTGCCAGGTACTCCATGGTGCTTACTCTGCTCTATTGCAAGTAAGATACGGTGGAGCTTGCATAGGTGGGTGACACTAAGGTTGGCTATCTCAGTTCATGCAGACCCAAACTCCTCTAAAACTGGTTCCAGCTAAAAGCCATAGGATGGGCACTTTTTTTGCAGAAAGGAACATTCTGAAAGTTGCCCTCACCTCAGCTAGGGAAAAGCTTCCCTCTGTTGCTGGGCAAGTAGGAGGCAAATGCTATTTTCATCAAGAGTCACACAGGGTGATTTATTATCAGGAGTGCTGGGCCAGGGGAAGTGTACATGTGGGGTAATAAAGAGTGTTGGGTTTATTGTAACTGGGATATATTTGATGTGTCACCTCTCTGTATATTGTTAACAGCAAAGGTTTCTTTTTGAGACACTTTTATGGCATCCTATGATTGATTTGTATTTAATTTAAATGGGTGGGTTGCAGAATTAGAGCCTGGCAAATAAAAACTTCCTAGAACTGTCTCCTCTCTGGCATGGATTGTTTCCTGTGTAGCACTGTGGACCACTTGTTTCTGCATTAGCTTCCACTGTAGCTTGGTGTTGTTCCAGTAAGATCCAGGAGCATACACGCTGTAGTGAATCACTGCAAAGCAGAGATTTGGACACCACTGTAAGTGTCTTCAGACCTGAATATCAGTTGTTTCTTCTCTTTCCTCAGCTAAGTGATAACTCAAGTTTACATCTCTGAAGATGTTCAGGTGGGACCAAATCAGGTGGCATACCCTACAAACTGTCTCATTCATTTCAAAGTAAGGAATCTAAGAAACACAACTAGTTTTTCAGAATTAATCTTGTACAAGCTCTCCATTGTACCAGGCACAAACAGGCTTTTTTTCAGTGTCAAGCATGCATGGTGTCCTGTTCCAGTGCCCTGAGTAAATATGTTACTTACAATGGGCAATGCAAGGACAATTGCTTTGTGACTGGAGCTTACTTACAGCCGCTTCCAGCTCTGCAGGACAGGTATCATGACAGACACTTGTCAGGCATGGCAATTATTTTGTTGCCCATCAAAGGATTATTGTTTTAGGTGCAGAAGTTTTGATAGTCCTAAGGTAGTGGCACAGAGGAATGCCTTTGCACCCCACTTCAAAACATGCACCCTTACTGCCCCAAAGAACATGGGAGGATCCTAGGTTTGGACTATGTCAGGGCAGGTTACTCAGCCAGCCCAAGTGAGCAAACAATTCCCATTTTCCCATCCTTGGACAGAGTGGGATTCCTCGTGGTCAGTGGGTCTGTCAGCTGGCCAGCTGGCCAGCTGGCAGTGCCACCTCTAAGGAGCTAAATTAATGCTTTCCTATTTTCGGTTCACTCTCTATAGATCCTTGGTTTGTCCTTTCTTCTCTCAAAATACCAAGTTGCTAAAGCTGTTTCTGCAACTGCTGAATGTCCCAAACCTGCAGAGTTGTGATCTGAGCTGCTGTCACATGGGGCTCCTTCTCAGTCATGTACCTTTGTGCAGACTTGTTCCCACAGTGTGACAGTGGGAGTGATCACGTAATTGTGAATGAGCTCATGAATGAGCAAACTACAGGAAAACATAAAAAAGGAAGACAAAGGTATTTCCTATCCATGTGTTGAACATCTAGATCTGTGAAATGGAGAGGAAAAACCTTTCAGAATTTTCTATATGATCTAGAAATCCACAAGCTGAAAAAGGGTTCAGGTTGCTCGGTGTCATCCACTGAACTCCAAGCAGCAGGTGGTTCATTCCAACTGAGTTCTGATCTCAGTTGAACTCAGTCTTTGGTTATTCAGCCTTTGTTTTCAAGCTCAGGTGTGTTACCACTTGAAAGAGCAATAACCTGGTTGTAGCCAAAACCAACATTTGCTGACAAAGCTGGAATTGGACAGTTGGTGCAAATCAGCCCAGAAAAAACCCACATCACTGAATCAGTCCTAGCCAAAATCCAGCAGTGGTTCCTTGACACAGCATCTCTTCCTTTTTAGTAATGGCATATTTTTTCCCCAAAAAATGCCTTTGCTAAATATGGAAAGAAATGGGTAGTAATGAATCCTGAGCACTTGGATCAAGTGAGAGAGTTTTCACAATGTTTTCTAGTGTGGGTGAGTAAACGTGTGACTTTAGTCAGGGCTCAGTCTGATTGTGCCACTGAGAGCTCTCCAACATTTTGTGCCTTGTACCACAACTCCACCAGACTTCTGCCAGACACTTACTGGGCTCAGCATTTGTCTGCATGGTTTAATGGCAGGGTGCTGGTTCTTCTCTCTCTGGAAGAATCATCCCAGTGGCAGCTCTTCTGCCTCACATCAGACCTTCCCCTTTGTGTTTCTTTGCTGGCCCCTGTGTGAAGGGTCTGAGGCACAGGGAGGCCCCTGGCATGCACTGTAGACTGTCTGTTTGACAGAGGAATTCTGAGGGAAGTGCAACGCTCAACAGTGGGAACACAGAGTAAAGGCAGGCATACTGTGCTGCTCTGAGGTGAACAGAGACTGCTTAATACAACCTTTGGTAGCTCTTTAAAAACAGAGCTGGCTATACTGGCACTATTTTTTGCCATTTAGGTTTTTCTGGAGCACTAAGTCAACAGTTGTCCATTCATTATGGTGTAAATGTAGGTTTACGTCTAAGACTGTAGATTCTGGCCATTAGAAAGCGACTGTTTATTTCATGAGAGTAAAGGTGTTAGCCTTCTCCAGTTTACTTCAGTGCTTTATTTACCCACAAGAAATTACTTGCCAGTCTTACTTGGTATATGGAATTTCAATGAGTTTTCGTAAACTGTTTCAGGTGAGAGTGTTCCTAAAACATTTCTTTTTATAGACAAGCCATTTTCTTGAAGGAACTGAACGTTCCAGATATTAAGTCTAGTTTGTTGTAGTTTCCTTTGTGAGCTATTCTTTGTGAACAATAACGTGGGTTGGGTCTTAGCAAATATTTTAGAAATCCAATTGAAGATCAAATTTCCACCAGAAACAAAGTGAACAAAATCTTTCAGTTAATGAATGATTATTTCTGAAGGAAGTTTCTATTTTACTTCAATATTTTGCTTTGGCTACACAGTCAGAAATCAGAAACTTGGTGTTTTTTTTTTTTATTTTTGGGCACAACCTAAGCGTAGTTATCCTTCAGCTGGGAAAACAGAATTTCCTCTGAAAAGAGATGGGGCTGAAGGGAACGGGGCGGAGAGGGGGGAGCAGAACACAGGACACTTTAGGACACTTTAGGACACTTTAGCTCCTTTTTGAATAACAAATAATGGGGGGAAATCAACATAAACTTTCCTGAGAGCATCCTCCATAAACACAAAATTCTCTCATCCTACCTCATTTCATGTCTCATCCTGCCTCATTTCAGAGCTCATCTTTGTCTGTTTTCATTCATATCTTTCTGCAGATATAAGTCTGATCCATACAGAGCAAATCTATGTCACCCGAGGATACCTAAAATACACAGTTAAAGTCACCCTTCTGGGGGCTTATATTGGGGAATAACTTCAGCCTTGTTTGAAGAGTGGTCAGATAAATAAATCATTAATGTTTTGGGGGTGATCTTGGCCCAGCTCCTTGTTTTGTTTATTTACTTGTTGGTTTTATTTTGGGGTGACTTAAATTGATGATGACCAATACTTTGGGCCTTAATTAGGTGCAGGTGTCCTTCATAAAACACCTGTCAGATCTTTCCCAATTTATAAGTTTCCCCACAGCAGTATCTTTTTGTGGGGGGTTATTTCACTTATTGCTTTGTGTTTGACTTGATCTGTCAGTAGATTGGGGGCTGTACAATAAATTAAAGTCATGGAGATGGTCAGGATTCTGTCTTCTGAAAAACATTTAAGGAATGGAAATTACAACAGGTAAGTGCTTTTGGTTTTTGTTGTTGGTGGTGGTTTGTTTATTTCTTTCTTTGTTGTTGTTAAGGTTTTTTTCCCACAGTAGTTTGATTCCACTTACCAGCAAGAGTCAAAAGATCAGGAAAATGACTCTGATAAACACTGAGAGGCATGAATGCCTGTCCTTATTGACAACATGCTGATGAGATCTCCCAGTTAATATGCTTTACAAGCCTGCGCAGCTGGGTCTTTTGGTGAACAGAAAACTGCCACAGTATCAAAGCCTCCTGCAGAGAAAGTGCTGGGGCTATTGCAGTAAAGCTTGGTCCGAAAGAGCCTGTAATAGTGGACTCTCGAAATCTCCTTACTCGGAGATTAACCCAACATATGTGTGAAACGGAGAGTGCTGGGCTAATGCTTGCTCCTGCAATTCCTGCCCTTTGCAGGTTGCAGCAAGAAATTTTAGGATTAAAGCCTGTTTTGACTATTCTTCCAGAACTGGGAATATATTTCAGGAATACTGCTATTCAAAGCTTGGGCTTGGGACAACAGGAAAAATTGTTGCTGAACAGCTATGGCACCCTGCAGGTAATTTGCAGAGCAGCTGCCATGAGTATGCTGTGATTTAGGGCAGAGCTTGGCAATGATTTTTTTTATCTTCTTCTCTTTTCCAAAATACTAAAACAAGCCTTTCTGTACAAGGAGTGGAGATGATGTTGGCATTCCCAGCAAAAGAAACTGGTATCCTCGAATATTGTTCCTGGCAAAATGGCCTAGGAAAAGAAGTAGATTGAAAAACCAAAAAGCTTTTCTCACTGAGCAAGAAAAACTGCAAACAAATATATTAACAATTGTAATATATGGGCAAGGCAACAAGAGAGCTAGAAGAAATCAGCCCAGAGGAACTGGTTTTGTGACAATTAATCTCAAATTACTTTAATTAAAACTTTAAAAGTGAGCTTTATACTGTTGTGTACTTACTCATAAGCTCCAGGTTATTTCATGTTACATAATTCCAGCCCACTCTACTGAGGGCTTGGCATTTAAAGGTTACTAGCTTTGCCACAAGAGGTATATTTAGGTTTGCTCCCAAAGGAATTCGGCACTTTTGTTTGCCCAAATTCTGTATAATCTTGCTCTAAGACCTGGCAGGTTGACTAGTGTGCAGCTAAAGAGAGGGTTTATATTCTTGCTAAATATTTATGTAGGCAACTGTGAAACTGTAACTATTTGTGCACCACCTTTGCAGTGACCAAGAATTGAAGTTATTTTCATCCTTAGTGGGTGAGGTTGTGGGTGACTGTACAGAATATTTAGTTTTACTTGCCAGCAGGAAGGAATCTCACTAATCATATTTCCATTATTGGAACCCACACCTTTTCAACTCTCTTCTTTATAAAAGTGACTGTAGTGCTGGTCTTTGTGAGCGTACCTATTAGTTTCAGCACCAAATAAACTCTTTCTTACTTGCTGGACACAGTCTAAATATATTATAAAAAAAAGGGGGATGCATTTTTCATTATTCCACATTCATGCCAGTGATTCCCTTCATTTTATACCTAATTCTTTCTGGTGTTTTCCCTACACCCTTCTACTCAGTGACCCCTGTAGAAGAGTTTAAAAATGAAACAGGGTAGAAAGTGGTTCAAACTATGTCATTATTGA